CGATGCTGCCATTTCTTCTCCACTTAGACACAGGTTACGCCGGGACCATCTACATTGTGGACTACCTGGGGTGACACCCGTAGTCCCAATCTCTATAATAGATGCCCCTCCTGGGATTTCCGTGGAAAAGAAAAATCTATCTTTAAAATCATGAAATCAGTGCCTGGCCTCTGTATCTCTGGAGAATTTCCCACCAATTCATTCTGCCCCATTCAGGTACCTGACAACTCCTTAGACAAAGGTCACTGGAAAATGGTTTCCGTGGTTGTGTTGGGAACCTGCAATTTTATGGTCATTCCAGCCAAAATGCTGAGAGTTGATGGGTTCCTTTTCCTAGACGTGGCACATTTTCTGAAGGATGCCAGCATCAAAATCCAGGTATCCTCTGCTTTTCAAAAGTTCAGCTTATGCCAGTTAACTTTTACAAAAGACCTATATTAGTACCTGTTTTCACTAACCAAAAGAAACCTGAAGAGGATTTTCTCTTTTAGGGAGAAGGGTGAAAAGTGAAAATAGGGCTCAGTGTTTGTTTTGTGGTGAGACATTATAGAGGCAGCGTGTACCCCTGAGCACGGAGGGTAGCCCGCCAAGCTCCTTCCCCAGGAACCACACTCAGCATCTTAGCGTCAAGCCGCCATAGCTTCGAACTGTCTGTGAGCATCTGTGCTTTCCCGCGGCTTCTTTTGCCTACCCGTTAGCAAGATGTGTCCTAAGGCAACTGCTTCTTCACTTTACGCCATCTCGGTTTTCGAAAGATTTCATAGGAATGCTCTACTTTCGGATAGCGGGGGAAACCTTGACTGTAAAATCGCAGGGATGCATAATGGAGCAATTCAGTGTGAGGTTGACAGTAATGAAACTGGAACGCCCATCACGTTCGGCATGCGTTCTGGAAAGTTTCATTGTTGGAAGTGTGCTGTCTGTGCCTTCCCGGAAATAATCAGGTTGCCAGCCTGTGCGTGGCAGGCCATGGGGAAAGCAGCTCTTTCCTTACAGTTAGATAGCAAGGCATGAAGTGCTCTCCGACATTTCCTCCACTCCTCTCTTCCTGGGTATTTTTCCCTGGAAAATGCTTTAATATCCAATTGATAAGGTCCCAAATGAAATTTACACATGAAAGAACAAAGAACTTCTCATAAAATGACACTAGAATCTTTTTTTCCCCCCAACACCCTTATGATACCTTTGAATGAACAGATTTGAAACGTATCGTGAATTTGGGGTTGGAAAGACGCCTAAAAGTTACCTCATCCAGCCCCTCCTCTGCTGTGGAAATCCCCCTCACAGTGGCCACACAAGCAGGGTGGGTCCATGGCTCCACCTTTGAGATTCTTCTCCTGACTGTGGGCTTGCTCACCCAACAGAACAGTCAGGTTTGGAAGTGAACTTAAGCTAATAAAACAGCTTTCAGTGCATGAGTCCTCTTTAGTGATAACCGCTGCTTGTTTTTCAAGTGCTCACTCTATGTGTCAGACACTGTGCTAAGAGCTAAAGTGCTTGACATGCACTAACTCATAACACTATTCACAACAACCTCAAAGGGAGATACTATTACTCCCACTTTATAGATAAAGATACTGAAGCTCAGTAAGGTGGCTGAAGTGCTTATCCAGTTTTTTCACAGACACCTCCAGTGACAGTGACAGGAACCACGCATCTCTTCTCTAAGCAGCTCCGACTCTCAGAAAGTGCTTTTTTATAAGGTGAGATGTGTCTCCCTGTAAATCAAGCAGTATGTATTTACTGAGTATTTGCTGAATTTCAGGCATGATGCCCCCATTTCAGATTCAAAGAAATAACGGGTTTTATTTATGTATTTATATTTACCTCATTTGAAGGAATATTGGGGGCAAATTAAAAGGAAACTTCTAATATACAACAATGGCAAAATACAAGAGGGACCAGAGAAAGTATAAGTAAAATTGAAAACTATCATGACCAAATTAAAGAATATACTATACAGAGTATATGGAACAAAAAAGATGATACCGATTCATTTCGTGTTTGACCTGGCCTTCCTGGCAGCCAAAACAAAAGAGGAGACACTCTGTCAATTCACAGTTCTTAATATCAAAATGATCATCAAAATGGGATAGCTGTATTCCTGAAATTAAATAGTGAAAGAAATCTCATAGGGAACATTGAGAGGCTGACTTAGCTATAGTCTCAGCAGAATTCCTAAAAGATATGGATTAATCTGCTTAGTGTGGTAGTTTTTGCAGCATCTTTTTTTACAACCCAAGAGCAGAGCATTAAAATAAATGTGTCAAACAGGGCAATACAGGTCACATATGTAGCCTGTGGCCTTCAGTCCATATTCCCACCCCACGTCCCAAAGCATAAAACATTGCCTCTGGCACAAAGGATCTTCATTATAGATCTCAGATATTGAAACATATAGACATGTCTGAGTCCCGGACTATAAATGTTGAGTAATAGAGAGCAGGAACTCTCCTGAGGTTCAGAGAGACAACCCATCACTGCGGGCTGAGCCTTAAAGGGGCCATTTCTAGCATGGGTTGGCATTTGGACTGAGCTGGACTGAACAAGCATTGGGAAGGAGATGGATGAAAGATGAGTCAGGCTGAATGTGGCTGATTTGATTTATTCCTTTTACTTAAACTGTGTTGTGCCTCACTTTCATGTTTCTGTGGAGGATACTCACCCTTGGCTCCAACTGGAAAGTGAAACTGCAGGGCGTTCGTGGGCTGTGGCCGAGGAACCATCAGCAATCCCATTACCAATGCTTAGAGTGAGTCTCCTAAGGCAGATTTGGCTCCAAGCAGCAACCACAGCTCTGTTTTCATAAAGTAATTTCACTTATTTGCCCCAGTTAGTATTAATAAGCCCAGGGCTACATGCTTCTACTTATCAGAGCACAAAGATAATAGAATAATGGAATGTTCAAGCTGAAATAGACCTTGGAAATCATCTAGTTCAGCCTCCTCACTTGACCAATGAGGAAACAGTGGTGCAAGGAAGTGGAGGGCCAGGTTTCAGATTTACAGACTGGCTAGAACCCAGTTTCTCTGACCACTAGCCCTGTACATGGTTCATCAGGTCTGTCTGACATCTTCCTACCTCATCTCTGAGAACTAGAGTGTGGTGGAAAGAGCACTGGACCAGGCAGTGGGAAAACTACGATTGAAACATACCTTCATTCATTGTATCTTGAGTTTCTCTAGCCTCTTAATTTCTCCCCACAACAGCAAGCTCATTGTGAAAGTGGATGCCTGATACCGTTCCCAAAGGAAGAGATGCAATAAGGCCAAGTGTCCACGGTACTGGTAGCATAGCATCATGGCCCTTCTTTTTTACATTTATTTTATTGAAGTATAGTTGATTTACAATGTTGTGTTAATTTCTGCTGTAGAGCAAAGGGATTCAATTATACATATATATATATTTTTTCTTTTTCATATTATTTTCTGTTATGGTTTATCATAGGATACTGAATATAGTTTCCCATGCTGTACAGTAGGACCTTGTTGTTTATCCATTTTATATACAATGGTTTGCATTGCTAATCCCAAACTACCACTCCTTCCCTCCCCCCACTCCTCCCCCACCCCCACCCGCCCTAGACAACCACAAGTCAGTTCTCTATGTCTGTGAGTCTGTTTCTGTTTCGTAAATAAGTTCATTTGTGTTATACTTTAGATTCTGCTTATAAGTGATATCATATGGTATTTGTTGTTCTCTTTCTAACTTACTTCACTTCGTACCATGGTCCTTTTGAATCAGCCCAAACTTGGGGCAAACCCAGTGCTGGCGGTACTTAGTGGTCTGTGACTTTGAACACATATTCTAGCCTTGGTCACCCTAAGCTTCACTGGACTGTTCCGATTACTGAGTGAGTAAATATATACAAAGCACAAGTACAGGGCCTAGCACTGAGATGCTCTTATTGTGCTCCTGCTTCCTTCCTTCCTGATAGATCACATGTAGGTCCATGTGTATCTCTGAGGCACATGAATCATCCAGAACTCCATAGTCAGAATGTAGAGTGATCTGATGTTCCTAAGTTACTTACCTCTTTCCACTAAGTCAGCCTGCGAGTCTCATTTCCATTTCTCTTCAACTATCCAAACATCCATTTTCACCTACACAGAACCTTCTACTGGCCCAGGGACAAATAAATCACATTTTGAGTGGTCCCAGGACAATTCAGCTTTACAGAAAAAGAAAGGATGGCAATATGAAGGACATTCGCTGTGTTGGGCTGTCACCAGGTCCCCATCGGAACCATGAAAAATTATGGCCAGTAAAATAACATTTTTCAAAATGTGACACTACCCTTCAATTTATCTGGGGCAATAAATGGATTTTGAAGAGACTGTTTGAGGCAAATTCATTCTTCAGGCACTCAACAACATATCAAAAATGAGTTGCATTATTAATTTATAGTAGCATCATTTGTTTTCTCTCAATAGTCACCTTTACAAACTCTGGTGTAAATTTTCTCTTCCTTTTAAAACATCTCAAAATATTTGCACATGCACTGCCCCCAGCATGCCACCCAATCGTCTTCACCTCCTACAAATATAAAAATGATTCCGATTGGTTGGCATGCAGAATCTTCTAGCCATCCTTTTGCGATAATAAGAACAAAAGCAGGTCATGTTGATTGAGAATGACTGTCTGCCAGATAGCCTTGTAAACAAGTTTAACTATAATATTTAATCTTCGCAACAATCCTGTGACGTAGGTGCCATTCTTTTTTTAAAATAAATTTATTTATTTATTTTATTTTTGGCTGTGTTGGGTCTTTGTTGCTGTGCGCGGCTTTCTCTAGTTGCGGCGAGCGGGGGCTCCTCTTCCTTGCGGTGCACGGGCTTCTTGTTGCAGTGGGTTCTCTCGTTGTGGAGCACGGGCTCTAGGTGCGCGGGCTTCAGTAGCTGTGGCTCGCGGGCTCTAGAGTGCAAGTTCAGTCAGTAGTTGTGGTGCACGGGCTTAGTTGCTCCGCAGCATGTGGGATCTTCCCAGACCAGGGCTCAAACCCGTGTTTCCTGCATTGGCAGGCGGATTCTTAACCATTGCGCCACCAGGGAAGCCCTTGTAGGTGCCATTCTTATGTCACTTTTACGTATTAGGAAACTAAGGCAGAGGATCCTTTCCTAAAGCAAAAAAATAAACAGACATCATCCCCATCTATGAGGTCTCATGATACAGGTTTCCTAGACCAGATTTGCTTAAATCAGAATATGTTTGAGTGCTATTTCTTTTATTTAACTCAAAATGTAATTATCAACTTTAACTGTTTCCAAGTCTAAATAGTGAAGAGCAGAGAAAAATTAAGTAAAGTACCTATTGAGTTAAGACCAACACAACAATGTCTTTGGAAGGGAATTCTCTCTCTTTTTTTAAAAATGAATTATACCATTGGGTTATTTGCCTATGTTTTAGTATTAAGATGACCTTACTGTGACACATACAAGTGTTTTGATTGTTTTGCTCCTGGAGAGTCAGGACTCCTGGGTGCCAGCCCTGGTTCTGTCACTGTCTGTGCCATATCAGGTAGGTCACTTCATCTTTCAGAAAACTGAATCTCAGTTTTCTCAATTGTGAAAGATTAACCCTACGATCCCAACATTCCCAGAGGTTTATAATGACCACAGGGTAGATCCAAGCAGCAGTTTACAAACTCATCATGAAGATGATGAGGAGAAAACTACCCATCTTTAATGCACAGTCATCAACCTTCAAAACTCAGCATTGCATTTCGACCTGTCTGAAGGGAGAAGAGTATAATTGGACTGCAGAGAGGAAAAAGCCTGTATGAAAGCTTAATAATAATAATAACCAAAAAAAAAAAAAAAAGGCAGTCTTGAGGCATCACGACACTAAAAGCTCATTAAGATCTCTGTCCCAGCTATTACACTACTAATTGAACAGTTACCCAAATAGATGTACAATCCAATAATGACTCAAATTAAGGCTTCAACCTCAGAATCTAGTAAAAACTTGTACAGTTCCTGCTCCCCCTTTAAAAAGCTGTTCTGGGCAAGCTTTGGGAAGAGAAACTGTCCTATTGTGACTTCACTAAAGTAACATGAAAACTCATACAAGTCGCTCTTTTTGTTTCTTTTCCTACTGCAAAACACACCTCTCACTGTCTACTTCATTCCTTTCAGTGCCTTTTGTTTCTTTGGTGGAAGAGGATGCAGTTTGCCCACTCCAGTGGTGCCTGCCATTATCGCGTTCAGCATTTTTCTACAGTGCCCTCTTCCAGCAGTGCCTTGGTCTGCAAGACTGGGGGTCTGAGAGAGTCCTGTCTTGCCCTCTGAAGCAAAGCTCTCTCCCTATTGGATAATTGGTTTCTTGCCTATCTATTGGTTTTGCTTTCTCTTGCGGGGTTGTCCTTGCCAATATACACATCTCAGCTAAGAATTTTAACAGGTAAACAGTTTTGAGTTTCTCTCTACTTTTCCCTCTTCCCTCTTGTCCTGACCTTTACAGGGAAGAGGGATGCCAGGACCCATAGGAGGGAACCTTGGGAGGAGTAAAAATCAAGGGATGCCTTTGAATAAGGGAGAGTGTACAGACTTAGAAAATCCTCAAAGAGGTTTAAGATTTGTACATAGAAGATATTCACAAAATGCTCATTTCCTGTCTCTCTGGGCTGGTCACCTTTGATGTTAATGGAAGTTGGAGTAGTCATCAGCTGGACCCAAGATGAAATCTAGAGTGACAATAATTTAGTTGACCACCTCCATGAATTGTTTCCCTTCCTTCCTAAAACTAAGGGATGGTTTTGAGGTCAGCTTCGTATACCTGTTGAGGAGAGCCCAGAGACCTAGAATTCCTTTAGATCCTTCTGTCCTCTTCAGTCTGAGCAGTGTGGCCTTCTGCACACTTTCCTTGATCTAAGGGCCACTTAGATCAAGGAAAGTCTAATACACCAGGATACTTACTGTCAAATTACGTAAAGAGGAAGGCAGTTTAGAGAGATGCTTCATTCCTTGGAATTTCAAAAAAAGGATTTCTAACACTTTTAAAGTGAGGAATAGCTGCCTTTTGCTTGCCTCCCAACTCCCAGCACGGAATAAGACAGTTCACATGTCAACCCTGCACATACTAGCCATGTCACATTATAGCAAGCCACCAACTACCCAGGGTGACTCTGAGGGCCCGATGAGTAAACACTTAGGAAAGTGCTCTTAACTAGAAAGGTGGCTTACCAGTGTAGGTGGTTGAGTCTACAAGCGTACCCAGCTCCTCTACTGGGAATTGATTTACAGAAATTAAGAGGGAAGCACATTTTTCTGAGCTGTGTGATTGGCATTATTAAACTACCTCTGTTATAGATGGTTGACCTCTTTATCAACTCTGATATGCATGTGATTTCCTCACGAATTTTCAGTTCCAGTAAGGACATAGCAGTGGAATGGTGTCCTTGGGATCTGGTTTTATTGTTGGCATCCTCAGTTGCAACCAACAGGTCTTTTTTCAGGGACTGAAGCTGGAGCATAATTGTTAAGGATATCGCTGAGGACCATGTTCATCATGTGCCCAGTAAATATACATTGAATTAATAGCTTTGATATCTGCACCAGATATTTTAGAATTTTGTACTTCGATAATACTTAGTAGTACGTCACAGTTTGGGGAATTGAGGAGATAAAGCTGAAGACTCTGGCTTTACTTTTTGGATTTCAACAATATCTCCACATCTCGTAGGGCCATAGCTGTGGGTTGCTGTGTCTTGAACCATAGATGGGCTGTCGTCTTCTGGGGCAGAAGGCACTGCTTAGGTTGTTGCTTCCTTAACATTCTGGCAAACACTTCCACTATTTTTAAGGCACAGTATAGTTCATGCCTGTTTGTGCTGGACTTCGGGTCGAATGGCCTCTATTTACCTCTGGATGGTTTGACTGAAAGCCTTTATTATTGAAACCTTGAGGTTTGGCACATTCTCAAAGGTGTCAAGTTTCTCTTGCGACTTTTGACCTTTGATGCTACAACTAGATTTTCCATTGATGAGCAAATGATGCGTCTGCTGTTAGAGAAATGACTATACTCTCTTGGATTGGGTTATATGGCAAACTCTAACCGGTGATCAGCACATTTAGAATGGTTTGAGAACACAGATTTGGTTTCAGTCCCCAGCTAAAGGTTTGGATGATAATCTGAATTGGACTCGTCAGATCTCGATCTGGACCATTGAATTTGCAACACAAAGCTCAAAACCTCGAGAGGGAAGACTCTTGACATTTCTGTTCATGCCAGCTTCCCATCAGGAAGTTCAGCGAAATGTCCTCAGGCCTTTTGGCACATCTGGTTCTGTTCCAGGTCCAGGTTGTGGTTTCTTTGAAAGTAGTAGGTGTAGGTGGTAGGTACCTGGTACATGGAAACTGGCCACCAAATTGCAGAGTTAATGTTTCGGAACCACTGCAGGCCTAGGAGAGAGGGCTAAAGGATTTGCATTCCCTTAACCCTTTGTTGTGTCCTCTTGGAAGAGAGAGAACTTCATCAGGAATGATTGGTTGCTTCAGGTGAATTACAGAAACACTGATCAAATGTTCCCCACCCCATCCCGTACAGTGTCTTAAACTTGAACGTGGCTGCGTATTACCTGGGTATCTTGTGAAATGGAAGATTCACATTTAGTAGGTCTGGGCGGAGCCTGAGATGACACGTCTCACAAGCTCCAGGTAATGTTGATTCTGCTGGACCATAAACTGTGAATATTTTTGAGAAGCAAAGCCCCATTTTCAAAGCACTGTGCCAAGTGTAGGGAATACAAATGTGAATAGAAGCGGAAGAGAAGGCTGTTACCTTTAGGCAACCACCTGGTGGCCGGGAGACAGCCAGGTAAATGGTATTCATTCCACAAGTACTCAGGGCAGAGACTGAGCTGAATGGAGCCTACTGGGCTCTGAACTGGGCCTTAGAGGTGAATAGGAGGAGACCAGGTAGGGAAGCCAGAAAAGAATATCTTAGGCAGAAATAAGAACCTGGGCAAGAAGAGAAATCAAATACAAGCTTGTCGTCTTTCTGCAGAGGAGACCTCTAAAATAGTGCCCAGCTCATTCCCAGGCCTGGGCGGGGGGTGAGAGGGGGGATGAAGCCTATGAAAGCACAGAACCTTCCTGTGGCAAGTAGACAGTCGCTCACATCCAAGGGCACCAGGCCGTCCTTCTGCTGTGCAATATAATTAGAGCATTTGAGGCATGCAGTCGAGAGAAGCACCAAGCGGAGGGGATTGTGAGCCAGCCGAAGCTGTGAAAAAGTCCAGCAATCCCATTCTCAGCACTATTTGCAACCTTGCTGTTATTTCTTGTGGATTGACCAAACGGATGTTTTGCTTTATGCTTTTTTTTTTTTTTGGTGTATTTTCTTCCTCCTTTCCTCCCTCCTCCCACCCCCGCTTCCTCCCCTCCCCCCACCCCGCCCGCTTCCTCCCTTTCTCCCTCCCTCCTCCCTTCCTTATCTGAAAACTCAGAGTGAAACTCAGGCAGAGTGCACCACTTCCCCAGGGTTTTTCCTCTCCATCCTGCTGCCCACCTCTGCTTCACTCCAATCCCACCATCCCCTGGAATTCCACCCAGAAATGAGAACAGTTTACATTGCACATACTTGCAGGTCTCTTCTCACATTTGAGCTCCACACCGTCCCATCAAACTCTGATCTGATAGGGGGAGTCCAAGCATTGCAATCCAACAGGTACTCAAAAAAATCTCACGTGGTCTTTCTCTTTTACTGCGTATATCTGGCCTTGCCTGCCCACTAACCAGTAGGGTGGCCCAGAACATACCTTGCCATACTGTAGCAGCAACAATTTGCTTAGAAACTTACACAGCTCTCATTTTGAAGCCTTGCACTGGCAAGTAATTAGGGCAGGAACCAGCATTCTTATCCGCATTTAACAGGTGGAAAAACTGAGGCCCAGGAAGCCACAGCTCCTAAGTGGTGGTCCAAGGATATGAATACAGTGTTCTGACCTTCTGTCATACACGATCCGGCCCTGCAGTAATCTTTAGTCCACCCTCACAACAATCCAGGTTTCAAAGAGACTGAGAGAGGCTAAAGAACTTCCTGAGGTCAGTGAATTCCAAACTTAGGATGCAAACCCCACACTTTCTGATCTCAGAGTCCCCACTTTTACCCTGAGGCCATAGAGCTTCTTATATCATTCTGCAGTCCATTGCAGTCCATTCCGCCTTCACTTCACTTCTCTCTGTGAAATGGAGATGCTGTCTGTGATCTGTAAGACCTCTTCCCAGCTGTAAAAGGCTGTGATCATGTCATTTCGGCTTGGAAACCAGAGTTCTTCGCTGCCAGCTTCTATTCAGTGCTAATCATGTTGCTTAATTATGTTTAACTCGGAGTGTGTTTCACCGCAGCTGTCAACACACTTCAGTTTGTCGCGCTGATGAAGTCGATAGCTGCATGATAGCACCTGTGTGCCATTTTGCAGGGTGTATTCAGCAGCCAGGCAGACCTTCTCCTTGGCTACATGCTACCATGTTCTGTCTTGATGCCAGCTTAGTTCCTCTGTTTACACTGGACAGAAACGGCCATACCTTCAGCTACAAATACCCAGAAAGCAACATCGGTAACTTTTGGCCGAGTGAAAACCACTGGTTGTATTCCAGACTCTGGCAGGTTGTGTCGATGGGGTGCTCAAGGTGAAGAGAGCAAAGACTCATATATGACACATTACTTCCATGTTGAGGGCACAAGCAAAGAGAATTTCAGTCTCGGGCTTCTCCATGGTAAGTCCAACTCCTGGGTTGCTCCCCCTGTGATTGAAATCTCTGCCCATTGTTTCCCTTCAAGCTTCAGGGGGGTGCCACCTTATCTAGAAAGCTCTCCCCCAACATGTTCTGTCTATGCTCACACTTCGCCTGTATGTCCCTGAATTTCCATGAATCATAGCCCTTGCCCCACTGTAATGAAAATGTCTTTCATTATTTTTCTGGCTGAGGGCAGCAGCCATATGTCATTTACCCCTGGATGTATTCCCACTAAATGTTTGTTGAATGAAGAGTGAATGAATGAATGAATGAAGCCATCACTTTCTCAGTGTTCAGATTAGGAATAAGAGTTTCCTTTGTCTTTCTGATGTTCTTCCATTATTCCTCCTCTTTCCTCTTCTGGCACATTTGCTCAAAGTTTATCCAATCATTTGATCTCTGCTCTGAGCCTTCTTCCAAGCTCCTCTACAGACAGAATAGCATCCCTTTTCCCTCTTGTTTTCTTACCCTGTACACTCCTCTGATGGGCCAGGCTCTCTGTCCTCCACCTCTGAAATGATACCTCAAACTTTGCCAATTCGCTGTGTTCTGTGGCCAGAAAAGGGACAGCACTTTCTCTGTTACCCTATTTGAAATAAACATGCAATTTCCAGGACTAGTCTGTCTTCACACTTTACAGGATACTCTGTTCTTTCCCCTCGATCCAGACAAAATGTAAAATTCTATACATATGTATTTTCCAAGTTGTAAAATTACCAATTCATTTGCATCACTGACTTTTCCAAAATCTGTCTTTTTCAATTAATATTTAGGTATTATCTAGGGACCTTTCTGGTTCTAAAACAAAAATTTTAAAGTCAGTAACTCTGCAGATCAGGGATGGCTCTCCATTCAGGGGATCTGCTACCAGACCTTCTACCTTAATAGGTGACTTGTTGGTCGAAGGGAGACTTGGTCAGTGTGAATACATAGGGTGTTATTGCCAGGGAGAGAGTTGGGAGGGAAATAAGATATTGAGTAGTGAGAGGCCTCTGGGGGGGGGGTCTTCCTCCTTAATATACAAAACCTACCGTGTCACTTAATTGTGGCCTCAAGGGTGCCAGGAAGGGAGTCTTACCCGAGCTTTTCTCATCATCTCCCATAATTTACTTCTCCACCTGATGGGTTTCCTGGGTTGGTGATGATGACCTTCAGACCTTTTAAGGGCTGTGGTTGGTGAGGAGGAATCATGCAGCCATATTTACCTTCAGTGGGTTTAAGGATCTCTTGATATTGCTAAAAGTTTAAGATTCCCAGGCCCTTCATCAGGATTCCTGATTCAATATGCATGGAATCAGCCCAGAAATCTGCATTTTAGTTATTTGCAGTTCAGATTTAATACAGGAAGAAGTTTTTTTAATAACCAAACCTTGCAGAAGAATGAGCGATAAAATGTAAGACACCACACGTTTGTCCTCCAAAACTGGAATTACAGTCTACCTGCATGACGGGAGAACCATGGCAGCGTAAACTCAAACGTAACTCTGAAATTCAAAAAAAAAAAAAAAAAACCCAAACATAACTCTGCATCAGTTTCTGCTGGTGCCCTCCTTCATAATTATATCACTAAATCTGACCAGTTCCACCGGGTGGAATTCTACCGCGCTGATTCTTAACTTTTAGGGGACAGGTTAGAGCAGAGTGGCAAAGACCCGTTGGAAAATCTGGTGAAGGCACAAACATCTTATGCCCTAAGTATGGATTCCTTTGGCAAGGGGGATGGGAAAGATAAGGAATCCATATATGTCAAGTGAAAAAATCTTGCCCCTGACGAGCATTGCTTCTCTCCTCAGTACGGTTCCCTGTAGCTATAGACAGAAGAAGCGCCGAGGAATGAATCAGAAGTTATGCAGGCGCGTAGACAGTCTGTCACGTGGTTTCCACGTTACCATAAAAGTCGATTGTAAATTTTCGCAGTCCTGCTAGGCTGTGTTTCTCTCACTCTCGTTTGCACCATGAAAGGCTGGGAGACATCTCATTCCTTTGATAGCCAGTGCTCCAGGAAACTTGAAAGAACAGATTTCTCCCATGTCTTACCAATGAGTTACATGCAGGCTAATAAAGCAGCTAGTGCCAGCAGCATCGTCAGTGTGGTCAGTCACACAGACGAATGTGATCTTAAGCTCTGCCCCAGATCCTGAGCCCGAGTCAGCTACTTTTGGATTACTATGCTATGCTCAAAACTTCTACAAGCGTCTTTTCCAGATGTATTTACCGGGGTCAAGTTCAGAACTTTAGAAAGAAAATCCTGGTTGCTATGTTGGGTGATTCTCTATGTTTGGGAGTGTCACTGATACTACAATTGATTTCCTTCAGGTAAGAAAGGGGACAAATACTTTAAACTACCAAACTATCGTTCCTGCTTTATTCTCTATACTTTGCAGGTTTAAACATCAGATTCTTCATTACTGGATGAGTTGCAAAATGCCAAATACCTTTAGATAGACCACACTTGGAGGGACCAGTTTTACTGTGTTTGTTATTTGTGTGTTTCTGTTGCTAGGAAGCTTAGCCGAAGGGCTGCAGGTTGCTAATTTTGTTTCTGATACCCACCCACCGAAGGCCACATTCAGCCATACATCATATATGTGCTATGTGCCTTGGTTTACTTTTCTTCTTGTGTTTTATGTATCATCCCATCTAAATAGTTGTGTGTGTAGCATTTCCTAGATAGCATTTAGTCATCAACAGCAGAAAATCCTCTCTCCTAGGAGTGTCTAATATAGAAAAGCAGCCTTACCTCAGTGTGTACAGGGATTACCTCAGAGTGGGCATTATCACTAGCTAATAATAATAATTATTATGATTTGTATTTGTATCGTACCTGATCATTTATAAAGTACGCTTCCATCACTTAATCTTCACTAGGACCTTAAGCTGTAGATATTCAGCCCATTACAACTTTCCAGATAAACACTGTATTCACAGTACTCAAAAGATGATATAAATTGCCCATCACATGTGGACTGTAACTGAGGTTTGAATGTTGGTCTATCTGACTCCAGGTCCAGTGTCCTTCCAGTTCATCTACGTTTAAATTCCTGAAATTTTTGCAGTGACATAGGGGTACTGTTGCCCGTGCTGGGCCACAGTGATTGCACTCTTCCTAGAACCACGTGGTAAACGCCCTGCATTATTGTATCAAGACCTGTCCAACTATACAGTGAGCCCGTTTCCACAACAAGGTGGTGTCACAAGATGTTTTAATCGCTGCTTTCTCCTTCTTCTTCGGTGTCTTCTTGTTGACAATAGTATAGCCATTTGCTGCACTACCCACTTAAGTCCGAAGCCTTGTAGTCTTTTGTAGAATGTGGAAGCTTCTCGTTTTATGCCTTGTGACGCTGCTTCATGGAGCCGACAAGAGAGATGGTGGAAAAGGTTACAGTCACTCCATTTCTCTATTATCGTCTTCTCCTCAGAGCTTATCACTAATTTCGGTGTCAGAGCCATAGTCATTCTGAGTCCTCATGAAAGCCAACATACTCCCCAGAAATGCAGACAGCCCCCCTGACCTTTGCGGCTGGAGATAATGGCCAAGGCAGAGGCGCAGTGACCTTTAGGCCACGTGTGGGTGGCAGCACTTTATTTTCTGTGACATTCGTGTTGCTTTTTCCTCTGTCTGTGTTTTTAATTGGAAGCATGTACAGCATGAATCTTCCTGGTTCCCTCCACACACACCCTGAACTCTGAGAGATTGAGTGTATCTGATTCCCTTCATAAAGCAATGCTCTTGATGCTAAGCTGGGGGCATTACTAATTGCCACCGTTAGAGACACAAAAGATATTATGGGTGACCTTTCAGGGGGAAATGCTGTTTGCAGAACAGGACCTTTGTGCCACCTGGCCCAGCCCATGTTTCTTTCTCATGTTCATTTTACCCTCATGATCCCATGAGATAAATCTGGCACTTGGAGTTTTTTTTTCCAATCGGCGTATTTCGTTGCCCCAGAACTCTTATTATTCAAGGGGAACCACAGTCACTTAAGCCTCTTCCTCAAGTTCCATCTCAGGTGTTTTGTTTGTTTGTTTGTTTTTAATATCTTTATTGGAGTGTAATTGCTTTACAATGGTGTGTTAGTTTCTGCTTTATAACAAAGTGAATCAGTTATACATATACATATGTTCCCATATCTCTTCCCTCTTGCGTCTCTCTCCCTCCCACCCTCCCTATCCCACCCCTCTAGGTGGTCACAGAGCACCGAGCTGATCTCCCTGTGCTATGCAGCTGCTTCCCACTAGCTAGCTATTTTACATTTGGTAGTGTATATATGTCCATGCCACTCTCTCATTTTGTCCCAGCTTACCCTTCCCCCTCCCTGTGTCCTCAGGTCCATTCTCTACATCTGCATCTTTATTCCTGTCCTGCCCCTAGGCTCTTCAGAACCATCTTTTTTTTTTTTTTTTTTTTTTTTGTTTCCTTTTTTTTTTTTTTGCATACGGTTTTTGTTTTTCTCTTTCTGACATACTTCACTCTGTATGACAGACTCTCGGTCCATCCACCTCACTACAAATAACTCAATTTCGTTGTTTTTGTTTTTTTTTTTTGAATTTTTGAATTTTATTTTATTTATTTTTTTAAAGAGCAGGTTCTTATTAGTCATTCATTTTATACACATCAGTATATACGTGTCAATCCCAACCTCCCAATTCATCACACCACCACCTCACCCCCTGCTGCTTTCCCCCCTTGGTGTCCATACGTTTGTTCTCTACATCTGTGTCTTAATTTCTACCCTGGAAACCAGTTCATCTGTACCATTTTTCTAGGTTCCACATATATGCATTAATATACGATATTTGTTTTTCTCTTTCTGACTTACTTCACTCCGTATGTCTCTAGATCCATCCATGTCTCTACAAATGACCCAATTTCGTTCCTTTTTATAGCTGAGTAATATTCCATTTTATATATGTGCCACATCTTATTTATCCATTTGTCTGTTGATGGGCATTTAGGTTGCTTCCATGACCTGGCTGTTGTAAATAGTGCTGCCCTGAACATTGGGGTGCATGTGTCTTTTTGAATTATGGTTTTCTCAGGGTATATGCCCAGTAGTGGGATTGCTGGGTCATATGGTAATTCTATTTTTAGTTTTTTAAGGAACCTCCATACGGTTCTCTCTAGTGGTTGTATCAATTTACATTCCCACCAACAGTGCAAGAGGGTTTCCTTTTCTCAGGTTTGTGTCCTCCGAGAAGCTGTTTGCTACAGGCTCATCCAGCACCTTCGTTCCCCCTCCGGGCTACAGACAGCTTAGCCCACACCAAAGAGCTTGTCATCTATTTCATTCTTTATTAGTTACTGACTCTGTCCTGTTCCCAGATGACTTTCTGCATGTTCATCTTGTTTTCTGAGATAGATTTTTTTTACTACTTGTCAAAGAGAATTTGACCATCAGAATTTCCTAAGCACCTACTGTGGGCTGGCCCTGTGTCAGGTGCTTTATACATGGTTTCTTCAAATCCTCACAACACACCTGGGAGTTGGGTGTTGCTGTCTGCATTTTATAAATGAGCGACTGGAACTTATGCACAGTATACACGTTATAAACCTGTCAGGGGTCGCAGACAGCTAGTAAGCAGGGGAGCCATGCTGCCGGGCTGCTCCATGCATCAAACCCTGGACCCCAGGTGGGGATGGGCCGGGGAGGCTCAAAGCTTTACAGTGATAGTCTCCTGGAGGCCCCCAAACATGGGTTACGTTGCCCGTGTATCATGCACTCCCCGGTGCTGGGCCCATGGCGGGTGTTCTGTAAGAACATCTAGGATGGGGTTCTTAAAGGTGACACTGTTATGGCTGAATCACGTAGGGACAGGCTCCCCACTGAGGTTCAAGTAGCTGGGGCAGGGGTCCATAGAGACTGAAATCAGAAAAATGCCACAATGATGTTGATCTTTCAACAGTTCACTCAGCAAATACAGTGTTGGCACATGCTGGACCCTGGGGAGACCTCATGGGAAATGTGGTAGAGCCCTGGCCCTCAGGGGGAGGAGACATTATCAGAAACCACTTCCCCCTTCTTCAGAACCGTCCAGTGATGCAGAAGAAAAGTTCTCGAACTTCTATCTGGTTGGCACAGTGATCTTGTTGACAAAGGTTGGAGAGAGGAAAACTTGTGAGGAAGAAAAATCGCACACACAGAGCCTTCAACCAAAGTCACTGAATTGTCCTCAATAAAGGAAAGCTTGCAGAATACCAAGATTTACTTCCTCCCCCTATTTGACATTGCTTTTTATCTTCAGAAAACTCTGAGTATGTGTGATTTGGACAGCCGAGACCTAGAACACCCCAATAAATACCCAAGTACCTCAAAACTACCCCCCCCCCCCCCCCCGAGCCCGGCTCCAGGCACGAGGCTGCCAACCCTCCCAGCCACTCACATGCATGCCCAGGGCCCCGGGTGCATCAGGAATCGAGCAATCCTGCCTTCTTCCTCGGGGGCAAGAGGAACGCTGTTTCCCAGGTGGCAGGATTGACGCTTAAAATTGTCAAAGGGGATGACAAGGTGCCAACGTCTTAGAAGAACACTGCGCTTTTATGTTCTGCCGACTTTTGAAATCCAGCTCCCGCTCGTAAATCATCATGTAACCATGTCAGGGATTATGTATGGTTTTTATATTTATATAAAAATGTGTGCACTGTTCTTGCTGATGATTCAAGCAGTGTGACTGGCGGGCAGGCTTGGTCCACCTCGCAGAGCACGGAACAAGAGACCTGACAACAGCAATATGTTACTTCTTTTGTTTGTACCACGTCTTCACACCACTCACTGGGCAACAGCCTGAATGAAGTGTGCTCCCGTGCTTTGTGTGAGGGAGAAAGAGTGAAAATAATGGCCATTCAGGCAAAAGAAAGCTTTTTAGTGCTTTTCAGAAAGCAGTCTTGTTTTCATTGTTGCCCCTGTGTTCACATAATGGCCTCATCCTTGTCCTTCCTTGAAACACACCCAAAGCAAGGAAAACATCTCCCCAGTACACAGCAAATGCGTGCTCTTAAAGTGATCAACAAGGAAGGCGTGGGCCTGTGAGGGCTGTCAGACTTGGTGTGTCGAGGGGTGTGAGGAGAGGGCTTCCTTCTCAGAGCAAAGGCAGTGGATGGGTGGCTCTGGATGGCAGGACCTGGAGAAACAGAAATACGTGATTTTTACCATTATCACCATCATTGTGCATACTGACCGGCCATTTACTATGCCCCAGGCATGGTGCTGCGTGTATTTTTATGCATCTTGTAATCCTCACGTAACTGTCTGAGAAAGATACTATTATTCCCATTTTCCATATGAGGACCCTAAAGCCTAGAGAGATCAAGACACCTCCCTACTGTCACTTATTTGGGAAGTGGCAGAGTCAGGATTTGAATCCAGGTACCATCTGACCCTATACACCAACCTCTTAAATACCCTCCCTGGGATCCTCAGAACCAAATCTCCCAGCCTTAACAGATTGCAGGGGATGATGCCTGGATGAGGATGGAGATTTTAGGAAGGGTTACTTTGAGAACCTTGGGTGGATTGTCCCAAGTTCACTTGACAGCTCATGTTTAGGCTAGGACTGCGGAAAGCTGCATGCATGTTATATTGATATCAATCGAACAAATGTACAAGAGGCAGAATGAGTGAGGGCATCAGCCCTGTTCGGGTCTGGGTGTCCAATACCCAGGTCAGCGAACACAGACAGTTCACTGCTCGTCCCTCACCGTTGGTTGCCTGAGATCTTAGCTCTACCCTATCTCATTAAATTAGTGCTGGGCTGGAGTATCATCCCAGTCCTCCTGGCAATAAGATTCTCTGCTCCGGCATCTCTCCAGGCAGCCCTCTTCTGGGAGAGTTCTGTTAGTTGCTTTTTTCTGTTTGTCTCAAGGACAGGAAACCCACTGGAACCACAAGGACCATTGACCCCACTTTGCCAGCCCTGAAGAGATTCTTGCCTTTGTGTGCAGCAGGCCTCCTATCCCCTCCTGAGGCCAGCCCCAGCCTACCAACACTTTTACATCCAGTTGAAATCCCGCCTCTAAACAAGACCCTGCTTGTGTACAGCTCTTCCCAGTGCCACGTTCAGAAACATTATAATGGTAGCTTGAAATCAGTCATTGTAGGGGTATTTACACCACAGAAATTGGCAAGCGCTACAGATCAGGCCTCTGTTGTCATTATTGTTGTTTTGAGAGCTGGTTTGCCAACACACCACTTTTTATACCTAATGCCCCACCAGTCATTTGATCCCATCCTTTCAGCACACCCGCCAGTCATTGTTTTATCATGTGCATGTCTCTCTACAGAGACTGTAGGAGGAATAGGATTAGTGGATTCTTTGTATCTCTGCAGCACCATCATGGTACCCTGTCAGTAGTAAGCACGCTCCAGTTATCTATCAGTGTTCTTCATTTCATCTACTTGGGTGTAATTTTTCTCTAAAAATGTTCAGATGTTATTCATTTGGTTGAAAGTAAATCCTTTTTAAAATTTGTTTATTTATTTATTGGTAGCATCGGGTCTTAGTTGCAGCACACAGGATCTTTCATTGCGGCACGTGGGCTCTTCGTTGCGGCACGCAGGCTTCTCTCTAGTTGTGGTGCACAGGCTCCAGAGCACGTGGGGTCATAAGCTGCGGCACCCCAGCTCTCTAGTTGTGGCACACAGGCTCCAGAATGCGTGGGCTCTTTAGTTGTGGCGCGAGGGCTCTCTAGTTGCAGCACGTGGGCTTAGTTGCCCCTCGGCATGTGGGATCTTAGTTCCCCGACCAGGAATCAAACCGGTGTCCCCTGCATTGCAAGACGGATTCTTAACCACCGGACCACCAGGGAAGTCCCAAAAGTAAATCATTCCCATAGCCAGTTGTCTGTCATTCTTTTATTCATTCATTCATCAACCATTTATTCATGCCAAGGAGCATTGACTATGTGTCAGGCACTAGTTCAAAGGGCAGAGTCTGATAGCAGTAAATGATATGGAAAAAATAACCTAGAAGAATGAAATAGAGGAGCTGGGGGCTGGGTGCTACATCGTCTCAGATGAGGATGTGTATTAGTTTCCTATTGCTACTGTAACAAATTACCACAATTATTTTGGCTTAAGGCAATAGAAATTTATTGTCTTATAATTTTGGAGGTCAGAAATCTAAAATGGGTTGGCAGGTCTGTGTTCCTTTTGGAGGTTCTAGGGAGGAATCCATTTCTGACCTTTTCTATCTTCTGGAGGTTGCCTGCATTCCTTGGCACTAGGCCGTGCATCTTTCTGACCTCTGCTTGTGTCATCACATCGCCTTCTCTGACTCTGACTCTCTTGGCTCCTTTTTTTCCTCATAAGAACCCCTCTGATGACTTTGGGTCTGCTCAGATAATCCAGGATAATATTCTCATCTCAAAATCCTTAACTTCATCATATCTGGAAATTCTCTTTTGCCTTGTAAGATAAAAACAGATTCCAGGGAGTAGGACGTGGACCTCTTTGTAGGGAAGGGAAGGCCTCTCTGAGGAGGTGACATTTGAGATGAGACTCAGATGATGAAAACATATGGGGGAAAAGTATCTCAGATAGTGAGAACAGCTTGCAAAGCCCTTGAGCCTGGTGCAAACCCGGAGATTCTGAGAAAGATGCCAGCGTGACTGAAGTGAGCAACCGGAGGGAGGCTGGAGAGGTAAGCAGAGCCCAGGTAGCTCAGCATCGTCTACCTCTCTACCTCACAGGTAGGAGCATGGATTTCATTCCCAGTGTGATGAGGAGCTGAGAGTTGTGATTGATATGTACTTGAATGGAAACAACCTCTCTGATAATTGTCTAGAGTGGTGCCCTCCAATAGAAATACAATGCGAGCCACATTTGTAATTTTCAATGTTCTCATAGCCGTATTTTGAAAAGTGAAAAGAAACAGGAAATTAATATTAATAAAACATTTAACCCAGTGCATCCAAAATATTATCATTTCCACATGTAATCAATATAAAAAATATTGACATAGTTTACATTCTTTTTTTGTTTTGGTACTGTGTTGTCAACATGTGATGTTTGTTTTTTATTTACAGCACTTCTCAGTTTGGACTAGCCACATTTTAACTGCTCCGTAGCCATCTGTCGTGACTGTTTTGGGCAATGCATATCCAGACAGGGTCCTCAGGGTCCTGTGCAAAGTTTACACAGGAAGTGTTTGAAAAAGTGGTGAACAGTGACGTGTCACAGAAAATGTGGGCCATGTGTCACGCCCATTAACGATCCCCAACTTCAGAGGCCCTGAGTAGGCCATGGGAAGTGAGGGATGGATTTGCAGATTCTAGAAAGGAGTATGTCCCCTGGTGGGGATGGTGGGGCAGGCAGGGCTCAGTCCCAGACCCAGAGTGGACTCCTGTGTCCTGGAGCCCCCAAGGAACACCTGTCTCTATTCATGTGATTGGTCTTAAGGTTCCCCTCACTGTCTACCCCTCATATCTTTAATCCCCTGAAGGAGTTTTGGCCAAAGCCAGAATTTTCCCCTTTCTTTATAGACCGGGCCATTTATTCATCTCCTTAGACCAATATTACTGAAAACAAGGGCAGAGGTCAAGAACAGGAAAAATTCAATGAAGCAACGAGAGGGCGTCAGTTGCTAGGGCAAGAACTATATCCCAGGCACTTCCCATACTCTCTTGTGCTCTTGTGGTGACCCCAATATTGACTGTAAAAGTCTAGCCTGGAAAGTTTAGTACCAGCAGAACATCAGGTACGTTCATTTGGATTTTTACAGTGATGTTAGATTAAAAGGGTTTATGAAACAGAAAATAAAGATCTGAATTAAACATGTAGGCCATGGTGGTTTACCTAAAGGCTAACTTATGAGAAACATATTCAGCACTGCACAAGACAATAAAAATCACAGCAGCATTTATTAAAATATATAGAGCCAGTGATCTGCCCAACACACTCGGCTTTCAGAAGGGATGGTGCCACATTCCCTTCTGATGATGGATTTGGTGGACTGTCATCTGGACCCTCACATCTGGTCTATGGGAACCAGCAGCCCCATCAAAAGGCAGCTTGGCCATTTTGACATGTAGTGACAAAATGTCTACTCTGCAGGGACAAAGGTGTCTTCAGTGAGTGCTTTGGGGCTTTAGAGCATCAGTCAAATTACCAGTGTCTCTAATTATTGTGTCTGCAATCTGGAGCAATCTATAGCTTCCTTCCAAAACAGGGTGGAATGTTTCCCTCTGATGGCACATTAG